TGTGTCTAAACGTGGATTCTTTTCAACCAGCTAATCCCACTTAAGTATTCCTGACCCAAAGCAAACAATTGATGACCTCATGAATTGTGTCTACTGTTTCGTCTATCTTATTAGTCAGTTTCACTTCTCTAGTCAAAAATTTGGTGAGTCGGTGCCACAGAGGTAGACTGTTCGCCAACCACGAATGTTGTCTGTGGTTGGATCCCCGGCCGATACACTCCTTCACCTCGCTAACCCATTAATAAGACTGGCAAAGAGGGAAGGTAAGGCATAAGGCCAGCAACCCGAACCCGTAAAAAATTTGCACTGCTGCTACCGAAACTTGAAGCCCTATCTCCCGCTGGGAGCGTAAAGGAATAAAAATAAAGCCTGCATTTTTCAGCTTAACATAAAAAGAACTTTGTATACCACATAAAGTGAGCAGTTAACCACATAGAAACTACAATCAAAATCCTATGGTCTTCTCATGAATCTACTTGGTGTAACTAATTTGAATTTCTGGATTTCCACGGCTAAAAAGGAATCATTTTGATCTTTAAGGATGACATTCTCTTAGGCATTCGCCATCGATAAAGATAACCAAAAACAATCAAAATTCATATAGTGATAATTCAAGGGAATTTAACTTTCACAGTTGCAATATTGACATGTTAAAACGTTGACGGATGTCAGCAGCAGCTAAATAATGACAGTTTCCCGACATCCTGAACCACATGAATATTTTAAATATATATTCATACTACCATTTAATGTAACCTCTTTGTTTACATTGGTCTCAATCAATGAAACTATTGATTTCATTTGTCAACATTCTGATCTTTTTACACTCCCACTATCGGAATTCAGACACCTACTGCTGATGTGTACTACAGTTGTACCGCCAAACAGACAGTGTAGCTATGGTAGTTCTAATTAGTCCGGTTTTGGCGAACATCTTTATGGTCATTCTTGAGAGAACAAAATCGAAGCCTACAATCGACGAAACAACTTGTTATAAATTATTTAAATCAATCCCAGCGTGTTAAGAAAATCAAAACAAGATTTTTCTGGACGTTTCGCCGTGTAAGCCACAGCTTCTTCAGCAGATTTATTCGGATTATAATTAATCATCAAAATATATAGTGAAAATTTTTTTACATAAAATGAAGTCAGTTTATTTGAAGGTCATTTGTCTATGGACATTTTTACCAATAGAAATATGTAAGCTGTCCTCACATATATTTGTAATGACTAATGTCAAATTGTTGTTGTGTTTACTCTTCTATAGTTGATTTGTAAAGATTAGATTTGTATGTGTGTGTGTGTATGTATGTTATTTTTCATATGGAAAATACGTGAATTCATATGTGATAAACGTGTCACTACATGTTTTAAAGGTCATGGAGGCTTATAGAGTGTTTGTTGTTTTTTCATTTGTCTTGCTTCATAAGAGTTTGCCATATAGGTGATAAGTCTATACCTTCTTTCCTATTCACTGCATTTGATGTGGTTAAAATGTGTAAGGCTTCCGAAGTCAATCTCTCTTTATGTGAATGAAATCCTCTTCCAAGAATTTCGACATTGTCAAAATCAATCTTATGTCCGCTGTCTATCGCATGTATTACTATAACCGATCTTTTTTCTAGACTTTTTAATTCTACTTCATTTCTAGGTGGACGTTTCGTGCAAAGTCTATTTTCATTCACTCTGACTTTCACCTGCCTACTGCTCTCCCCTATATAGCATGCCTCACATTCTGAACACTTTATCTTGTAGACACAATTACTTTGTGACATTTTGGGAACTATATCTTTGACATGCACTAACGCTTTCTCTAGAGAATTAGAAGGTTTAACATAGACTTTAATATTATATGCAGCAAATAGTCTTTGAATTTGTTCAGCTGTGTCTTTTCGATATGGAATGGCTATCGTCGATAGCCAGGATTTTTCAACTTTTTGTTTTTCTTTGTGCTCCTTTCTATTGATGATATTATCTAGTAGCTTTTCAGGATAACCATTTCCAATCAAAATCTGTTTTATATTGGTTATCTCGTTCTCCATATCGTCATTATCAGTTATAATGTTTCTAGCTCTGTTAAAAAGATTTAAAGCTACTGAGACTTTCATTCCTATTGGATGATCTGATTGGAAATTCAAATACTTATTGGAATGTGTCGGCTTTCTGTATATGGTAAACTTTAGTTTCTCGTCAGTTTGTCTTTTTACAAGACAATCAGGAAAGTTTAGAGTTCCCTTCGCCGATTCTATCTCATTAGTAAACTCAATATATTCTGAGATTAAGTTAATTTCTGTTAAAAAGTCTTCTTTTTCAGCTTTCTTTATGACAACAAATGTGTCATCTACGTATCTGTACCATATTCTAGGATGACAGCTAAGACTTGTCAATGCTTCGCAATTGATAGTGTTCTCTGAGCTCCTTGGTTTAATTGCGGAGCTTTCATCGTCTTTCTGGACGACATCTTCAGCGCAGTATTTAGGATCATTTCACTTTATCCTAAATACTGCGCTGAAGATGTCGTCCAGAAAGACGATGAAAGCTCCGCAATTAAACCAAGGAGCTCAGAGAACACTATCAATTGCAAATCATCCACCTGAGTTACAAATCTTTTCTATTACTTGTCAATGCTTTCTTTTCTAAGGCTTTCATATATAAGTTTGCTACAATTGGAGATGCTGGTGAACCCATTGCAACTCCATTTGTTTGACAGTATAGTTTGTCTTTAAATGTGACTGTCCATTGGATGACGGCCCAGGGAGATGGCTAAACCCTGATTCCAAACCTCCAACGACTGGCGTATGAAGCTCACTGGAGCTCACCGGCAGACGTATGGACAAAGGGCTTGTTGGATGCCCTGGATGTCTGGCCCCATTCAAAAAGGCGTATGAACCGAACTCCGGTCACCGGCTGCCAATGGATAGTGGACTCCTTACTCCACTCCTACTGCCTTGTAGGTCACACTTGGCTGTGTAAAGGCTAGAGCTGCACTCTCAAACAAAAGGCCGAGCGATGCTGGGGACATCACTCGTACCAAATTCCCATGAAACTTCATGAACTCTCTTACAAATTGCCGCGCCTGGGCAGCGATGATTCGAGACGTTCATGAAGCCGGCTCATCCTCCCGTAGGAGATAGCCGAAGTAAAGTAAAGTAAAGTAAGTAAGTAAATGTGAAATATGTTGATTCCAAACAAAGTTTTAAACATTTTATAACCTCATATATTGATAGTAAAGATTTAGTTATTACTTCTTGATTGTTTTCAAGTTCATATTTCATAATATCGAGTGACTCACATATAGGAATACTAATAAATAAAGAAACCACATCAAAACTTGCCATAATCTCGTCTTCTTCAATAATTATATCCATTACTTTCTTTTTAAATTCATCAATATTTCTGATTTTCGAAGTAATATTGTATTGAAGTGGTTTCAGTATTCGTGATATGTATTTTGATAAAGTATATATTACTGAATTGGTAAAATAGATTATTGGTCTTAAAGGAACGTTTATTTTATGTAATTTTGGCCTTCCATAAAATCTTGCGGCCGTGTTTGTCTTGGGAGCTATTGAGAACCAAACTGAATTCCCCAGTTTTGGTTTCAATTCTCTAAGTATATTGCATATTTGGGCTTTTACTTTGTTCATAGTACTAGACATTTTGTTTACTGGTACTAATGTGTATGGCCCTGTTTCGATATGCTCTAAAGCTTTCTTGTCGTAGTCGTCTTTATTAAGAATTACGGTGATATTGTTGTTATTGTTATTGTCGATATGTCGATGTCACATTTGCTTCTTACCTACTCAGATTGTTCAACGACGCACATGCAAATATTGAATTCACTATGGAACATGCGAATGTTGGAAAGTTTCATTTCTGTACAATGCTTGAGAGATGGTAGTCTTCAGGATCAATCAACTGAAGGCCTGCTTGGAATGGACAATACTTATATTTCGGTGGTTTTTGTTCAAATAGCTATGAACGAGCACTGGTCAAAGCTTGACTTTATAGAGTCATGGAAATATGCTTCAGAGAAAAAGATTAGAGAGTGAATTTCTGATTCTCGAAAAGGTGTGGAAAAACAACAGTTACCCTCAGAAATTTCATAACAAGTATGGAAGATGTGAAGGTCAAATGACAAACAAATCATAATGGAAAAGAAGCCTGTCTTCATTCAACTCGACTTTAAAAGTGATAATATTGCTCGGTTAGTCAACAGAAGATTGTATACCTCGCCAGCCGGAACACATCTTGAAGCTAAGCTGGTTCCCGTTTTATCGGACAACATGCTCTCTGGTGCAAACAAAAGTCAACAGATACTCTTCCCATGTGTATGAAAATTTATATGGATCTGCGGAGGCAGTTACACAGGGAGAACAGAAAGAAGGGCATAGATAGGATTTTCTGAACATATACCAAAAAGCCTATGTTTCAGGGAAATGGATGCTTAAAAAGAAACAGTTATCAGTCCTTGTTTGACCTGGTGACTCGATGTCTCTACTCTCTCAGTCGTTTAATTACGTAATCTCTGACTTCAACCTCTTCTCTCTATTGACATAGATAGTGCAACTTTGCTTGTTAGGGTTTTCTATGATTTGAGTTGAACCCACCATATTGCTCTTACTTAGTTTATTAGTCACTCATTATCGTACTCACCTCATGTCTTTATTATGCAACTCCTTTGCCATTGCAAGCAAACATTACTTCTGTTTAAACTTCAACTCTGTGGGTACAATTTATGCAAGTGTAATCCTCTGAAGACTGTTTATAAGGGTGTAGTCTATGTTAACTGACGTCATGTGACATTTGCAGGTATGTTATAAATTGTGTCTGTACATGAACTTAATGATGATTATTTTAGGCTGTATGCAGCTGATGAGAAGCCGACAAAACAAATGATGATAATGGTGCCATCTTATTCTGAACAAACTACTTCTCTGGCTTGAATAAAGTTCATAAACGGGAACAAATGTATAAAGCATGGTTAACAGTTAACTCACTTTTTTGAATGATTTTATTCCTTTCACGAGGTAGTTCAAGAGGTTCATCTTCTTGAGGAAGTTCGAAAAGTGATGATAATGCTTCCTTAAATTTAACACACACATAAGAAAGTAAAGTGATAACATTTAGTGATTAAACACCCATGACAAACATTTCAGTTAAACAAGATAAAATCAAACAAACATTTTAGTGAGAATATCTCATGTTCAGTCATAAAGGACTGAAGAAAGCATAGCTGGTCACTGGGTGTGGTGATAAACTGACAATTCGTTGGATTTAAAACCGGCTTAGGGAGGCAAAATTGAATGCCAGTCGGGTTTTGAACCCTAAGCCATGTGATGCATGATTGCCGAGCATTATATCGACGAACTACTGACTCTCTAAACTGTCATTTAAACATAACTAATTGATGTGATAATTCAGAGTAATGCATGATTTAATTAATGATCAGTTTGGCAGTTAGACCTTGTACTTCACCTGGTGAAGCATCAGACTTATAATCTGGAGATTATTGGTTCAAAACCCTGCCATGGCCTACATTTTGATCTCATCTCCAATTATCAGCATCACATGAATATCATCCTGACAGTTTAATAATAAGTGAGATAGACTCTCCAGTAACCATAATTATATTTACCGATAACTATTTTTCTTACTTGAACTGCTAAGTTCACTTGCTACGTTTCAGTAGTTAAGTGTTACTCGATGGTAGGATGCAGTTGGTAGGAATCCCAGGCTGAAATGCGTTTGATGCTTTTTGACACTGGTCAGTAAGGTTTATCTGCCACCTTGAAGGATCTCATGTCCCCTCTCAAACTTGGAGACGTATTACAGTCAGAGGAGTTACTACTGAGCTCAGAATCTCAAAGGCGGACGTGATATCCATAAAGGTTGTAGATACGCCTTACTTGTTTGTAGGTGCCAACAAGCACGAGACCAAGGTCAGGTCGTCTTCCTGCCAATTGCCTCCAACCGTCTAGTAACTACTGATTTACATGTGTGTTTTTTAATCTCTCACCTCATTAATATTTCGTAGGTCTAGGAACCCTGTCGGTTATTTCTTGATTCCCACGACAGGAATTGTATGACTTTTTATAAACTGGGATAATCAGTGATATACACTATTCTTCTGAGAGTGTCTTAGATTCCTTTAAGCTATCTAATAGCTCATAAGCATACTTAGACACTCCTGCCACCAAATCACGAGGTCCCGCCCTTAACCCTTTTTGGATTATTGCTATTATTCTTCCCTTCTGTTCCATTTGGAACATAGGCTTTCAACGGCACCTCTCCACTTTGTGTTGTCCTCTTTAGTAAGCCCCACCGTCGCTTATATCCTCTGATCTCTTCCTCACATGATCTCCTCCACGTCACCTACCGACGCTCTACTCGCCATTTTCCATGAGGGTTTCACTTGAGCGCAGGCCTAGCGCACAGCGTCATTAGACGGTCTTTTCATTTTTGTTATAACTGAACTGAACTGAATAAATCAGTTGCTACTTTTTTTGTTAACTACTATAACGGTAATGATCACACACTCAATCACAATGTGCATGAGAAATGATAGATCCACATAGTAACTCCAGCACAAGCTAAACCACACGAGTCGTGAGAAAGGATGGTATACTATTTTATGCTGGATCCTATCAATATTTGTCTACATATTTGTCAAGCCATAGGTCATTGGTTGGTTCGTTCTCAGAGTTTATTGTCGCTAATTTTTTCTGTTCAGCCATCCGATTTTCAGTATTTAGTCAGAGAAGACGGGGGGGGCTGTTGATAAAAGTCTGCGGTAGCCTGTTCAAAATGCTTTTCGTGACGCGTAGGCCAAGTTTATGACCTATGTAGAAACACTGACTGACTTGAAATTAGTGTTGAAAATCCGAATTTAGTTGTTTATGCTGAGTGCAGAAGACTTCCAAACTAATTTCAGACTGATGAAGGTCTGTTTTGCCTTTCTGATTGTGCTCTTAGCACCCGCATACTCCCACCTGTAGTAACATTAAAGACACCTTTTTCATCCTTGGATGGGCTTGTAACCACAGTGTCTGTGTTTCATTCAGCCTCGGGATGCATAGTGAACGATGGACAGCAGCTACAGCCCAGTTGATCCGCTCTTCAAAGCGTTCTAATCAGTTGATATTAAGTGTTTAATTTCAGTTTGGAGGTGAACTTATTCAACCGGCATATATTGTTTTTCAGTAAACATCAAAGATGCGGACTTTCAACTCCAATGTGAAGTCAGTGCTGCTTACTATACGTATCAGAGACTTGACGCGTCACGAAGGGTACTTTGAACAAACTACAGTCTTTCATCAACAACTGTCTTCGCTCAATACCACTCAAGATCAGATGGCTGGCCGGAAATGATCACCAACAGGAATCTCTGGAGCGAACCAACCTAGCAAGAACCGACTGAGAACCAAATATTCAGGAAGAAATGGAATTGCATTAGCCATACTTTGAGGAAACAAACCGTCATCAAGTGACATCACACGCCAGGCCATCACTTGAGTGTAACCCTAATGGGAAACGGCGAGTTGGCCGTCTGTGCGAGGGTGGGGTGACCTGGAGGAGGTCATGTGAATAGGAGATGAAAGCATGTGAAAAGACATGGAGCCAAGAGATGGAAACGTTGGTGGAGAGCCGAACTCAATGAAGACGTTCGGCTGAAGCCCCAGGTTCCTCTAGGAATTAAAAGAAACAATAATAATAAGAAGAACAAATATCACCGATATAGTCAGTAAAGAACAAAGCGGCTTAACACCACACTTTTTGGTGCAAAACTATCTACAGATTACGATCAACAAATATCGACTTAAACAACTTCAATGACTAGTATTCAAATATTTCCTGCGAAAGATCATTTGTAATCTGCTTCACTTGTCGCTGGAATTTTCTGGATTCGTAAAGAAGTATAACAGGCTTGATTTTGTGTAGTCGACCTGCTGCCGAAGCCAGTCAACAAGTGCAAATTTAAATCAAGCAGTGCTTTGAATTCATTGGACTAAAAACTTCAATCAGAAAAAATGTGATAATTAATTGAACTCTAAAGGATAAAAACAACTTACTTCATCAACTTTTGGTGATTTTATAATACGATATTTGAAATCATCTTGAATTAATGCTGGTTTTAATTGCCTACTATTAATATTCCGTGTAACACGTGTACCATCGATTTGGTTGAAACGTTCATCCATGGCGGGACTATGATTCAACTCAGGCGGTTGTTGACTACTTTTAGGTATTTTAGGATAAACTTTACATTGTACCGTTTCATCATCATTCCCGTTTGTTGGTGGTATAGTCAGATGAATAGTTGAATTAAGTAGGCAGGTTTCATTCGCTTGAAATAATAATGATGTTGATGCTCCTGTTGCTGGTGGAGGGGATACTGTTGAGGTGAGTAGGAATTTCTCAGTTTTCTCTGGACAATTAGGCTTTGTAAATTGTCGATAATTATTGAAATGTGCTAAGGTTACATTATTCAACCAGTATAATGCATTGTCAAGTGAAGCAGTTGAAGCATGCAGACGACTACAGACGATATCCCCTTCAGCAGTTCGTCCAATAGCAATTAATGTTGGATAGTGACTTGGCTTTATACAGATAGAAAGAAGATAATGGAGAAGATTTGTAGCTTGCATGTCTGAATTCAATTGAGTTGTGTTCTTCGAGTCGGTTAATTTACTTGTAAATCTTTCATTGTCGTCCCAGACGACAAGTTCAGCGCAAGCTTTATTATAAAGTCAGCTTGTTTGAATTGCCCATGAATGCTGAAATAATTCTGTCTCCTAACAAGTCGAAATACCAACAAGAAACCACTCTCAAAGACCACAATAAAATTCATTCAACCATTTAAATGTAAAGAATATCTCTGAAATGACGGCTAGAATACTAAAACCATTTGGAATAGACATAACACACAAGCCAGCATCATCACTTCATTCAATAATGTGCAGACCACAGGACCCAACTGTGAAAGAAGATAAGAACAACACATCATCTACAAAATAAATTGCATAAGCTGAGATAGACACTATGCTGTTCAGATTGAGTGTCTCCCTCGAACATAAATTAGCTGTGAAACGACACTATGTGTATTTTTTCACATCAGTGCATGTAGACAATGACAGACATCAATCTAATAGAGAGAATGCAGAAATTTTGAACACAGGAAACATCAAAAAATGCCAGGGAAATTTTAGAAGTTTGGTATTGAGATGAATTTAGTGATTAATAAACACATTACAATATATCAACTTTACCAAATAATATAGAATAAATTATATGACAAGAAGGTTCCGATTCTACGTTAGTAAAACTGATCAATGTAGACTGACAACCAGCTATAAAAATGGTTGTCGGAGGATATGAAAAATTATATCATTCATGGAGAATTCAAACAAGTTGACTTTATATTAAAGCTCGTGCTGAAAATATTTTCTAGGAGGAGAACGAAAGCTTCGCACTGAAATTAAGCAGCTCACAGAGGAGCACAACCAAATAAAACAAAAAGAGATACAATATATAGAAACTGGTTAAAAAAAAACAACTGTATATATTCATGTCGTTATCATGGCGTCAGTAGTTCAATGGTAGGATGATTGCCAGCCACTTGCGTAATCAAAGCACTTCTTAAAACCTCCTAGTTTACCAGACGATAATAATCCTGGAAATGATAGAAAGTTACACGTGAGGCTAGTAACCCTACCGCCTAAAAACAACACAGTTACTGGAACTCCTAGAGACTGAAACCTTGTGTTCCATACGGAACTAAAAAAAAAGGAAAAAAGTGTCGTTAAAACATCATGGAAAATTCCCATTGTAACATATAGAAAATCAAAACAAGTGGTGATTCAGCGAAGAGACTCTTTTCAACGAATTTATCATCAAGGTGTACAATCGAAGAGGTGGAAGTGGAGCAATAAGAGGCGCGATCATTGAACATCCGGTCGATAATGATCACCCTATCTCTATAGCCTCCGCCTTTAAAGTCATCTACAAGGCAAAGAGCAATCTACCCAAATCCCTACGTACCCAACTCATCTGTATTGCTGAAGCTTTGGCTATCGAAACAGAAAAGCCAGATCTCCTTGCACAGAAAAAGTTCGTTCAACCTCTCCAACTTTCATGGCCTTAATCCCTCTATGTTAAAGTATGGTAATCCCCAATCATATTTTAGCTCTATCAATTTTTCATTTTGTCTATTCAATTTTTACACTCTTCCTTATTGAGTCAATTGTTATTATTACTATTCTCACTTTGAACTGTCCCCGGTATTATTTCACTTGTTCCAGTTGTCATTCTAAATCAATTGTTTTTTACAACGATAAATTCTATGCTATTAAATTTTACACAATATTACGTAACATTTTCATTTTATTCGATTTGTCTACTAATCCTATAATTACACACCCTTTTTTAAATCTTATCCATCCTATGAATTATTCTATATATGACATTAATTTGTTTTGCCACTTGACATTTAACAATGATTATTATAAGATTTGATAGTGTCAAATATTCCCATATTATGAATTAAAAGTCAATCTGAACGAAGAATATTCTTTTCAATAATTTCTCTTCAGGTTCTTACAATTATAAAATATAATATTTGTGGTCGTTACAAGAAAGGCCAGTTGTGCGGCGGATACATTTTTAACGTAGAATAACAGATTAGTTATGGGGTGTCAAAATAAATAGTCATATTTGTGCGACAAACGTGCTAGGCTGAAATCGATTACAAATATCGCAAAACGGGAGACAATGGTGGTGATTAATCAAAAATGATAGAATTGTAGAGTGTGGGGTAGGAAAATTGACAAATCAGTTCAAGGTTATAAAAGGTGTCAGGTGAGTGGCTAGAACGAAGTGGTCTGAGTTAAACAGAAGAGATAGTAAGACTGGAATGAGAGGATCATAGTGAGATAACGAATATGTTAAATGAAACAGGTGGAGGCATATATTGAGAAAAGAGATAATATCACTAATAATAAGTCCGTATAAATGAAAATTCGATAGTATTGAGGGAATGTTTGCATAAAGGGCATAAATTATGATGAATAATAATAATAACTGTAATAATAATATTTATAATAATAAGCAAAGCAAAAAAGAAAGAATAAAAAACCAAGAGGGTTAAGGGGAAGGAGCACTCTTGGTGAGAAGAAAAATCTTCAATCTAAGGTTGGCCACGGTAGGAACAGCGTCTGGACGTGTTCTTTTTGGATACACAGTTCCGGTTTAGTCGATCTTATTGCAACAGCTTCAGCTATGTGTAGGAGACGTAAGCGAACTGTATGTGATAACGACTTCGGAATTCGGAATATAACCCTGAAAGCTGTGTTGACGTCGATGCGATGTCCAGTTTCGATCAGGTGTGACAGGATCGAGCTTTATATGCACTTAATTTCCCCCCTGCTGAACCAAGCTAGTAAGTGTTCTCGAACCCGTATCCGAACCTGCCTAATCGTGCGCCATATATAACTTGAACCACAGGAACAGTTGAAATGGTATATGTATCCGCCGCATAACTGGCCTTTATTGTAACGACCACAAATATTATATTTTATAATTGTAAGAACCTGAAGAGAAATTATTGAAAAGAATATTCTTCGTTCAGATTGACTTTTAATGATTATTATCACAAACATTTTAGTTTTAAAACAATTAGTCCCTTTTATAAATTTGAATTAGGCATTAAGAAGACAAATTTCGCGAGATGATGCCGTCATTTTGTAGTTTCTTTACAATCGCTTCACAACTAACATGGTTAACAATAATAAAATAAAGATCATGACAATTACTGAGTTAAATAAAAACAAAAGTACATACTAATGACCAATCATATTTAAAAGGTCATGTAGTCCATGGTGGGCGAAGATTGAAGTCTATTGATTTTTGTACACACAGTTTATGCTGTATGTGATTAATCCTCCAAAGTATATCCATCACCTTGAAATAAGAGTTATGTGCATACTACTATTATTATTATTATTTTATGCATTCACACCTATGATTCAATTCCCTTACAGGATATAACTTCTTAAAAATATATATATACACATTTGTACAGCTGGATGATAAATTCGTTGAAAAGAGTCTCTTCGCTGAATCACCACTTGTTTTGATTTTCTATATGTTAAAACATCAGATAGTCATTTTCATAAAAAGTGAAAACTATTTTACGGATGAAATGTGCATATCAGTTCATATTTTCTGAAGTTTCAGATGTTAGAAGCAAGTTAAACTTCTTTATCCGTTTTACTCCTTTTCGACCAATAACAATTGAAGGAGCTAATATTGTACCCAGGTATTGCCTATTCGCTCGACTGGCCTATTCTTGCACACGAAAAACTATCGTAATAAAAAAGATAATAGGTAGGGATATTATTATTATTATTTTATCCTTTAATCCCTAGAGGAACATAGGGCTTCAGCTGCGCGTCTCCATTGCCTTCGGTTTTCTGCCAACTTTTTCACCCCCTTCCAAGTCTGCCCACATGCTTTCATCTCTTCTTCACATGACCTCCTCCAAGTCACCCTCACACTGACGACCAACTCGTCGCTTCCCTTTCGGGTTCCACTCGAGCTATGACTGGTCTAGTGATGGCACTTGATGGTTTCCTCAGATTATGGCCAATCCATCTCCATTTCTTCCTGCCTATTTGTTTCACAATCGGTTCCTGGTTGGTTCGCTCTCAGAGATATTTTTTGCTGATCTTTTCTGGCCATCTGATCCTGAGTACTGAGCGATGATAACTGTTAATGAAGGTCTGTAGTTTGTTTGAAATGCTGTTTATGACGCGCCAAGTCTCTGATCCGTATAGTAGCACTATAGGTAGAGATAAATAAAGCATATTTCAGCTACATCAGGACAGATAGAAAACACCTTAACCGACACAACTAGAAAGAGATACTTTGCTAAATGAGTCTCCATTGGCTTTTGGAGGGTCTTCAGTGAAGCGATATACTTTTTGGGTGTCCTTTTATGTAGAAAGATATTCCCATAGATCGTTTCAAATGACTTAAGGAAGAGCAAATGAATGTAGGCGGTATTGGATACCCGAAGACATGCCTCTAATTTAAGATCTAACAAGAAGTAAACACAGTTAATACACCCATGATCAGATCCGGAATCTGACTTGTTTTAAGATGTATCTTTTCCTTCAGATTCAGTCAGACATTGGGGCATTACTAGTCATGATATCTTTTACAATATATTAGTTAGGCCAGTTCTTATTCTGAAATGATTCTTATCCTCACTTAAAGACAACAGCTATGATGTTATATGGTTGAAGACGAGTGACAAGAAGGCATCCATCAACAAGGCGTATTTACAGCCTTGTAAGAACTGACATCTACTCTCATTTTCAAATCCGAGTCACTCATTGTTACAATCAAAGACGCTAATCACGCTCTCCACTGACCTTGTGTAGGACTTTAGTGGATAGACTGACTAGTCCTTATGGAGTAATTAAAGTCATGCATCCAGTCCTTGATGTCATTGCTGACTGGATTCTGTGAATAAACTTTGGAAATCTGACAAAGAAAAGTGTACAAAATATTTTGGGTTATCTTTTGGGTTCAAAAACATTGCGTATGTGGTTGTAGAGTAGTGTACTCAGTTATCGAGTTGAAAAGTTGAACACTTGAAGTTTTGACAAATCATAAAAGCGTAATTAAAGATAGTTAAAAGAAATGCAATGAAATTAAAGCGACTGAGGTCATCTGTAGGACATCTCGATTAAATCAACTCACAGAACTGAAACAGTTCCCAGTGCCTGAATTCTGACGCCAAATTAGTGAAATGGCTGTTCAGTGTTTAGACTTCATTGGTCTGGGTAACAAACACTATTATAAATTTCCAGACCGTAGGGGTTACGCACTTCCTCAAATAATTTGAACGCCGATTCAGACTGGTTCATTATAAATTATCTAGCATAATCCCAGCGTGTTTAAGAAAAAATCCAAACGAGATCTGTTTTCTGAACGTTTCACTGTGTAAGCCACAGCTTTTTGAGCAGAATTATTCGTATTTTTATTAATCATCAAAATATATAGTCTAAAATATTTTGCATAAACCGAAGTCATTTTATTTGAAGGTAACTTGTCGATAGGCATTTGTACCAATAGAAATATGTAAGCAATCGTCATATATATATATATATATATATATATATATATATATATATATATATATATATATATATATATATATATATATATCTGTAATGACTACCCAATCGGACAAAAACGGGGAACAACGTGTTAAAAAGGGGCATAAAAGAGGGACACTCCACTGAGAGAAAAAGGGGAATAAATGGGAGGATGCTGAGAATTTCCTCCTTTTCCCAGACTCCCCTTTTATGTCACATATCCCTCTTTTTTTGAGTCATAATTTCCCCCCTAATTAGCCTAATTTCCCCCCTAATTAGTTAAATTTCCCACTATATAACTTGCATACATAAAAATTGAACTACTTACAATTTATCAGTAACCTCCTGTGTACAGTAAAATTTTCCATTGTTTCCCTCATAGTCCCATTTAATCGATTTTTCCCCCTATGAATGAAAATAGCCCCTTTTCTGCCTCGTTTTCCCGAAAATGTTCACTTCTTGTCCACGCATTTATCCGAGAGGGTAGTGTCGAATTGTTATTGTGTATATGCATATGTTTGTGTGAGTGTACTTTATTTGTCATTGTGAAAAGACGTCAAATCACATGTGATAAACTTGATAACACATTTTTTTAAAGGTCAGGGAGGTTCAAAGAGGTTCTGTTGTTTTTTCATCTGTCTTGCTTCAACAGAGTTTGCCGTATTCGTGATAATTCTATCGGTTCTTTCCTATTTATTGCATTCGATGTTCTTAAAATGTGCAAAGCTTCAGAGGTCAACCTTTCTCTTTGTGAATGAAATCCTCTTCCAAGAATTTCGACATTGTCGAAATCAATCTTATGTCCGCTGTCTATCGCGTGCATTGCTATAGCCGATCTTTTCTCTAGACTTTTTAATTCTACTTCATTTCTAGGCGGATGTTTCGTGCAAAGTCTATGTTCATTCACTCTGACCTTCCCCTGTCTACTGCTCTCTCCTATATAGCTTGCTTCACATTCTGAACACTTTATCCTATGGATACAACTACTTTGTGACATTTTGGGAACCATATCTTTAACATTCAACAAAGCTTTATCTAGAGAATTAGGGGGCTTAAAATAGACTTTAATATTATATGAAGCAAATAGTCTTTGAAGTTGTTCAGCTGTGTCCTTTCGATATGGAATGGCTACCGTCGATAGCCAAGTTTCAATTTATGAAAAACAAATTTGACTATATATTTTGATGATTAATAAAATCCGAATAATTCTGCTCAAAAAGCTGTGGCTTACACAGTGAAACGTTCAGAAAACAGATCTCGTTTGGATTTTTCCTTAAACACTCTGGGATTAATTTAAATAATTTAAAATGAACAAACGCTATTGTTTGATTTTATGTGATTTTAAGTCGCTCAAATCAGTCAACAGAATATGCCATTGCTAACCACCATCTTGTTAACTTTTCTTGCGTCTTCGAACTAATCGTCCAAACAGTCAGCAGGTTGTTGTAGGTTAAGAACTGCGGTTCACTGAACAAGAAATACCAAGATAATTTAAAAAAAGTGGAGTAGTGCGTCGGTGCCACAGCGGTTATGACGCTCGCTGATCATGCACATAGTCCAGGGTCCGACCCCTTGCCGACGCACACCTGATATCTATGGTCGGCCTGCAAAATTTGGGCTACCGATGTCACGTACTGAAAATTCCATACCTGTACCAAAAATATGCGGTGTGGAATCAAGTTGTAATCAAAAGTAAAAAAGAGTAAAAATAAGGCTGATTAATGAACAGAGAATATTCAGACTTCCGATAACCTCTTCGTCATCAGGTTCTACATTTATATGACAGTAATAATTAAAGAAATACTCATATTGAAGTATTTGTTTGTAGGGATTTGGTTGATTGTTATAGGATTTCATCATGAGCTGACATTAGTTAGAGAACCATTGGAAAACATGGGAGTACTGGACAGCTGTTTCGTCCTAGCCTGGAACTCTACGTCAGTACACACCCGCCTTCTGGTTACAAGGCAAGCTCGTATACCATTAAGCCACTGGAATCCAATCCAATGGCCAGCCCATGAATTCTAGCTTCTGCCAATTCACGATATAGCGCAACCGCTAGCCAATGTCTTCGGCGAGTATTCGTCCTCACACCCGATCTGCTGCACCCTACTGGTCACGACTTCCCACTGGAACTCCAGGTAACTACCTACCTGAATAGGGCCAGTTGCCAGTGAGCACCTCATTGGTATTCAAGTATTGGTTAGTAAGGGAACTGATTGATTGGTTACAGGAGATTTCATCATGAGCTGACATCAGTTAGAGAACTATTGGAAAACCTTATTAACAAACAGTAAAACTCTTTCGAATTTTACTGAATCTGTAGTATTGTCAGACTACCTTCCACAAGCGTCAGTGATAATGCTCAGCAGTATAACGCTAAACTGACTGGATATCAGATAAATTAAGGGAAGTAACACACAGAATTTATGAGTTTATAGGTTCAACAACAGGCCAGGGTAGCAATAGTGGCTGACTGAATCTGTTTCATCTGCACGCACAGCTCCGATTGACTTAGGCGGATTGTATTGGCCTCTCCTGTTTGGACTACTTGGTATCTAGAGGTCATTGATGATTTATTCGATACCAGACAATGATAGAGAAAGATTCTTCTTAGTGGTCTGTTTGGATGGGGTAATCCAAAATAGAACTGTTGACGGTTTTAACAACACCTTTATTTAACCACACTGGTAGGTGCTCCCAAGCACGAATAATTAGTTTTTTAGAGAAATCGATAGCCAATATAACTGGCCCCTCAGAGGCAGAGGAATTAAAAGATTCGGTTGGAAGTGGCTAGTCTAGGGACTTGATGTTTTATTTTCGAAATCACAACCAGTTGAATGGAAAATGTAAGTTGCATCTTGTACTAATGCACAGTATTTGTCTCTTACTAATGTTTTTGAAATTCAATCTATCCAAGCTATTGAATCAGTGTAATTTAAAACAACATTAATGTTTTCTATAGTTGGTTTGTAAGGATTAGTTTTTTTTAACGAGTTGATCACGGATTGATATCAGTTAGAGAACGATTGAAAACCAGGACCGGAGTACTGGAGAGCTGTTTCATCAGCCTAGTTTGGGAATCATCGCCAGTATGCATCCACCGCCAGGGTTCGAACCCAGGACCTTCCGGTTACAAGGCAAGCTTGCTCGTATACCATTCACCCAGCCACTGGGACCCAATTCAATGGCCAACGCATGATTTATAACTCGATTAAACTAGAAGTAATGATGTGTTGCTATTCGTTTGGAAACCGAATTTTCGGAGGGAAATTTGATGTTATAGTTGTGTTTATATATGCTTTAGGATACACTGGCAAAAATTTTGTGAGTGTATAGAAAATTACTCTGATGTTCGCTAATGATTTGCTACCGGACGGAGTTTCCTGGAGTTTCAATAAGAAGTCGTAACCCAGTGAGGTACATCCAGATGTCATGTGTGAGGATGGATTTCCCACCGATGAAACTAGTTGGTGCCAGTCACGCTAAATCATGAAATGGTAGAAGTTAGAATACATGTACTGGCAATTGAATCGGGTTCCTGTAGCCGAATGGTATTACTATCTTACCCTGTAAGTGGAAGGTCCTGGGTTCAAATCCTGGCGGTGAGTACATACTGCGGATGGTTCTCAAACTAGGATGAAACAGCTGTCCAGTACTTCACTACTGGTTTTCAATGGTTATCTAACTGATATATCAATCCATGATCAACTCGTAAAAACATTAATTTTGTTAATAACAGTATTTCTTTGATTATAACTGTCATACAAATGTAGAACCTGATGAAGAAGAGGCTATGGAAAATCTGAATGTTCTTGACTCATTAATCAGTCTTTTTACATTTTCAGTGGTCAATGAATAATTATACCTGAAATAAATTATCTTACATGTTTCCATTCCTTCAACCATTGTGCTAATCGTGTACCAGGAAAGGCAGACATTAAATAGGCACGTGCTTCAATTTGTGTACAATCCCATGGAAATAAACCTGCACTTCGTTCAAACAACAGGCCACGAAAATGTTTCGACTTGTAATTTGTAATATAGATATCATCAGTTGCAAAATCTGCATTGATGTTTGTACCAGGTGTTTGTGATAATATTGTCGTTGTTTCAAGTGGTTGACTAAATTTTACCACTTCTATTGTAGAACTACCTGTTTGACTATCTGATGCATTCAGTTTCTTCTCGTCAAGCTCTTTTTCATTTGAATTTGCAGTATTACAGTGAAAATGTGAACTCCCTGACAGGTGATCTAAATTCTCCTTTGTACTACAATCACAATTATAATTTTTTATATTTTTACTGACAATAGACTTCCAATAATGTTTTATTGACTTTAGAAAGAATGTAGGTGACTGTAGGGAATTCTTCTGTTTTGTTTTTATTTTAACGTTGTCTTCTTCTTCGCTTACTGTTGGAGGGTTTCTGTGTGAAGTCTTCTCTTCCACCGGTGAACAGTAGGATAAATGTTCAATGGAATCAATTGATTGTGTTTTAATGTTTAAATTGTCGCTTGTACAAGCGTTAGATAAATTTAAATTAGCTCGAATTTTTACTGATTCTCTTGGTTTATGTGTGGAATTAGACAGATTTACTGTGATTCATCATTATTATTTTCTTTCAAATTGCTTTCACAAGTCATCATGAAGAATTTGATGGTTGTGGTAGGATTACATCATTGTTGAAATCATTTAGTTTATCAGATAAGGCATCGTTTAATCCAGTGGACATTTTTTCTTCTGTCACATTTTCTGCGTTTTCGTCATCATTACTTATGTGGAAATGTTCCCTTCTGTGTAGATTTTGTTTATCTTTTTTGCCTTGATGCTGGTGTCGCTGTTGTTGTTGTTGATGATGATCGTGATGATGATGCCGGTGTTTGTAGGAGTGATGATAGTCAAAAGAACGTTCTTGCACCGTTTCTTTTTCTTCTTGTTCTTCTTGTTCTCGGGATTGTTGTTTCAAGGTATCATCGTTTGTAGAGCATAGGATTTTGGTAACAAATTCTTGTGTATACGGACTTTCTTCATGATGTAGGTAAAGTAGGACAACAGGCCACTAAACAATAACAAAGTAAAACGGAAAAGATAAAGACATTTGAAGAGTCAGAAGAATTCAATCAGTTATCTTTATGTGTGGGAGTATAAAATATTGAAGCGAATGAGATCACTGCTTGATATTGTGGTGAGAGCTGCTTGCTAGCCAAAGTTGGTAGACAACAAATGACATCAGTTCAGGTGTTGGTTTTTAGGGATTTGATTGGTTACATTATTTCATCATGAGCTGACAGTAGTTAGAGAACCATTGGAAAACCAGTTGGGAGTAATGGACAGCCGTTTCGTCCTAGTTTGGGACTCTCTAGCAGTACGCACCCACCGGGATTGGAACGCAGGACCTTCCGGTTACAAGGCGAGCTCGTATACCATTAAGCCACTGAAACCCGACTCAAAGGCCCGTGAATTCTAACTTCTGCCAATTCACGACATAGCGCAACTACTAGCCAATGTCTTTGGCGAGTATTTATCCTCACACCTGACCTGCTGCACCCTACTGGTCACGACTTCTCGCTAGAACCCCAGATAACTACCTACCTGAATAGGGAAATTCGTTTGTGTACTAGTGACAAGTCGTGACCAGTAGGTTGCAGCCGGTCGGGTGTGAGGACGAATACTCGCCGAAGACATTGGCTAGGGGTCGCGCTATGTCGTTAATTGGCAGAAGTTAGAATTCAAGGACCATTGGATCGGGTCCCAGTGGCTTAATGGTATACGAGATAGCCCTGCAACCAGGAGGTCCTGGGTTCGAATCCTGGTGGGTGCGTACTGATCAAGAGTCCCAAACTAGGACGAAACAGTTGTGCAGTACTTCCTGTTGGTTTTTCAATGGTTCTTTAACCAATGTCGGCTCATGATGAAATCCTGTAAATGACGCCAGTGTTTACGTCTTGAATGGGGGTTATAAGAAAAAACAAGAACAAAACTTTACCTTGAGGAATTCACCAACCAATCACAGGAGACTTAACATGTGCGAATCCGATTCGCAGATATATGGCCTAACTATCTAAGAGATGGTCAAAAAATGGTGACAGAATAATTTTCAGCAAGGAAACAACCTGTCAGAAGACGCTGCTTCTCTGCTAACAGTAACAAATAATAATAATAATGATAATGTACATAAAAATCCATAAATATCTGTTGATTTTTCAATAAACGATCTGTTGCCTGGCTCTTGTCTTCTGTCGTTGGAATATTAGTCATTTTTGGTGTATCTACTTTGTTGAAACTATCAGAATGTATCAGCAGAATTTTCAATGTGATCATTATGTTATGTATGTGAAGCAAAACTGTTGACCACTCATGATGGGGACTTCATTGTAGTCTATGATGAAAGAAGTTAAGATTATTCATTGCAAAGTATAGAAGTATCACGTGGCATAAATTCAGGAGTAAATAATATGACTGACTGGGATAGACGTAGATATAACAGTGATATGAAACACCTCCACAGACAGTAATCTCTGTTTTTTGAGCCAGAAGAATAGCAGAAGAAAAAAGACTTGTCTATGATTGTAAGAATGTAGTGAGAGCAGGCTGCTAGCCAATTGGTAGACATTAGTTTACGTCAATGTCTAGGTCACTAATATTGGCCGTGAGAAAATATGAACAAGGCTGATTTAACAGTCAATCACAGCAGACTTAAACGTGGGCAAATTTGATTCACAGATAGATGGCTCTACTTTCCGAGAAACTCGAAAACAACCAATCAGAAGACTGCGTTTGTCTGCTTAACATCCAAGAAACAACCAGTCAGAAGACTGTGTTTGTCTACTTGCATAAGCTTTAATAATGTACAGGAAATATATATATATATATATATATATATATATATATATAAATACGTGTTGATTTCCGTAATAAAACGATCTGTTGCCGGCCCTTGTCTTCTGTTGTTACAAGAACACTTTTGTTACATGAAAAAACACGAACTATCTATTTATGTTTTCCACAGATATAGATTAACAATAGATTAGTAATATAAGGGCTTATTCTGATTCGTTATATTGTGATATGAGCTAGCTGCAAGCCAAAGATTGTAGACGGCGATTTACATCAGTATTAAGTCCCGAATCGGGGTTATGAGAAAAACAACGACAACAAAGCTTAACCTTAAGGAACTCATCAACCAATCACAGCAGAATTAACGTGTAAAAATAGGATTCGCAGAGATATGGCTTAATTTTCTGAGAAACGGTCACAAGCAGTTCAGAATAACCTTCAGTAAGAAAACTACCAATCAGAAGACGTTGCTTCCCTGCTAACAGTAACGAACAATATCTGTTGATTTTTTCAATAAGCTACCTATTTCTCTTATCTTCTGTCGTTACAATATGAGTTCGACATTTCTCAGATAAAGGGTTCATGTTGATATTAGATGGTTAGAAGTAATCGGCAGGAAACCTTTGACATAGGTTTCGTGCTAGTTGGCATTCATCAGTCAGCAAGGGGTACCTGCAACCTTGAAGGGAATTATGTCCTCTTCGAGACTCGAACCCGCGTCATCCAGTGTCACCTGCAGTCAGAGACGTTACCGTGTAGCTATTTGGGGTCGTGATTGACCTCCTGTAGGACATTAGCCAGTAAGTACTGTGATGTGTCTAGTCCTTTCTTCAGTGTAGACTGAATTCTATCAGTCAAGTCAACAATTCACAGTGCACCGTGATGGCTAGCCATCTAGTGCAATATTAGCTGCATCGCAAACTTGACTGATAGAATTCATTCTGCACCAAAGAAGGAAGTAGACACATCGGACTAATTACTAACTAATGTGCAGTCAGTATGGAACACAAAATATTGCAACTCACAAGTCAGTTAATGATTTAAATATGTAGATATTATTTGCATATTTAAATCCTTTATTATTTATCTACTAATCTTTCCTGGTCGTTTCATATCTTGATGATTTCTAAGAAAATATTCCGTCTTACCTTCTACATCAAGAAGTTAAGACATTCTGGTAAAACTCAACCCTTACTCCTACGATTCGTTAACTCTTGCACTCTGTCTATTATTCTCTATTGTTCCCCCTTAGTTTTTCCAGGGCTACTGAAGAACAACTATACCTTATTACGCAGGATGTTAAAGGTTGTCAGCAGGGTAAGCAACGTGCCACTTAACCAGCTTGTTAATATTCTGGTCAACAGGCACTTGGACTCATGTGAAAAATGGGCGAAATCCATTTTATCTAACTCACGCCACCCTCTTCATTCACAACTCTCCCCTTGTATCGCGCCAGGCAGGATCAGAAGCCTATATAGAAAACTATGTGCTCGCACTAGCAGGTACAAAAACTCAATCATACCCCACTCAGCTCGTGTTATGTGCGATAAAAAATGGATTAGGCGTAAAACTTATAACTTATTAAATAGTCAGTAGAACAACTGAATCTCGTCTTTCCAATTGATGCAATTTATAGATACAACGTTTTCTTCCTTTCTTTTCCTTTTCTCTCTCTCTTTTTTCTGTTATGTGCTGATTTGTTTCTTCCTTCCTTACTAACTCTATTAAAAAATTCTTCTTTGTTCTTTCACACTCTGTTCTAACACCTTCAAACATTCTGTACAATTTTGGCTTTGCTATCGACATGCCAATATGCTGTTGTCAAAACTAATTGAGATTACCCTTAATCTATGTAGAATTTTATGTATTGTTAATGTACTAACCTTTATTAACAACTGTCTTCGCTCAATACTAAAGATCAGATGGCCGGAAAGAATCACCAACAAGGAATTATGGGAACAAACAAAGCAAGAACCAGTCGCCCAACAAATATGCAGAAGAAAGTGGAGATGAATTGGACACTTGCGGCTGAGGAGGCCGCTGGGTGACATCGTGCGTCAAGCCACTGCTCGAGTGGAACCCGAAAGGGAAGCGGCGTGTGGGACGTCAGTGCAAGGGTGACATGGAGGAGATCATGTGAAGAGGAGTTGCAAGAATATGGTTTAACATGGATGCAGGCGAAAAGTATAGCAGAAGACTGAAGGGGAAAATGGAGACGTGCAGTTGAAGCCCTATGTTCCACTAGGAACCCAAGGGAGCAATAATAAAATATAAAAAATAATAAATGTCTGTCCGACCATTTCTTATCCCTTGTTTAGGGACTGGTTGGTCAACTAATGACCTACTGAACTAGGCAAGACTATTGATTGTCCTGCCTCTTTTAAACATAAATCTATTTTTGAACTGCAACATTACTTGGTATGCATTTCTACTCGACAAATGCGTGGCTTGAATATAAAACCCAAAGTCAAACACCTATAAAATTTTCATACAATTCACATTTAGCTGACATACTTCTTAGTTTTAGAGAACAGCTCAACACTACGCATCTGTTAGATAGGTTATAAGATTTCAGTTCAGTTTTAGCCATCACTGTTACGTTATCAGTGGTAGGTAATCTGTCAGTTTTAACTATTTCAAAAACACTTGTTTCAGTATGAAACTGTGTCAAAACAACAGAATTTACATAACTAAAAAGTCAGCTGAGAGATAAGTGCAGTTAATAGGTGGAATTAATGCAGACTGAACTATCGTGAAGATGCTTTTTTTAACTACTGCTGTTACACTCCACCCATCCCAGTCATTGCTAACTATTTCATGAGTTCAAATTTTAATGTAAAACACTCACTTCATTGTTGTTTCTTGGAAGTATTGCTAACTGGAAATTTGTTTATTCAGAAGGATTTAATTTACACCCTCACGCTATAGAAGCTCTGGGAATCCATAAAAAAAATCCTTAAGCTCTATGCTCAGAAGTGATTTTTGCAGCGTCTTTTCCTACCGTAGCATAGCGGTAGAATGCTCGCCAAATACGCATGTGGTCCGTGGTTCGATCCCTTGATAACGCACCTCTTTACCTAGTTTACTCAGTAATAAAACTGGTACGACAACGGCATATGCCAAGTGGTCCACAACGGAAAACTCAGCAAGGAGTTTGGAGTAAACACAGGAGTCAGACAAGGGTGCTTATTCTCTATCACCAATGATATTCCTAATTGTGGTTGACTGGATTATGCGTCAGACAGTGGGAAACGAGAAAGCAGGTATATCCTGGACCGACCTGAAGAACTAGAAGACCTGGATTTCGCGCGTGGATGATTTATATTTGATGTCACTGTCACAAAATCGAAGACTTACAAGTGAAAACCGCAAACTGGTCGAAGAGGCAGTCGGCGAAGACAGGCCTCCAAGTGAACATAGACAAGACGGAGGTGATGAAAATAACCAACAACAACAACAACAGCAGTAACATCCAGCACCAATCTTCATCAATGGGAGGGATTTGAAAGATGTTACTTCATTCATTCACTTATCTAGGGAGGATTGTCTCAACTACAGGCAGTCGGAACGGACGAGGATGTCAAATCGAGCGAGAATCGGGAAGGCAAGAAACACATTCATCAGCCTGAAACCAATCTGGGAAACCAATCTTCGTCACTCAGTATCAACAACAAAATTCGATCGGATTTTCAATATAAACTTCAAGTCAGTCAGTTCTCCTATACAGATCAGAAACTTGACGGGCGGATCACAAAGAATATTTCCAGCAGCCTGTTGCAGACCTTCATCAACAACTGTCTTCTCTGGCTCTATACTGAAGATCAGGTAGCCGGGTGGGTAAGAATCACCAACAAGGAATTATGGGAACAAACAAACAAAGCAAGAACCAATCGCCCAACAAATATGCAGAAGAAAGTGGAGATGGATTGGACACTTGCGGCTGAGGAGGCCGCTGGGTGACATCACGCGCGCGTCAGGCCATTGCTCGAGTGGAACTCGAACTGGAAGCAGGCGGCGAGTGGGACGTCAGCGCAAGGGTGACATGGAGGAGATCGTGTGAAGAGGAGTTGAAACAGTATGGGCCAACATGTATGCAGATGAAAAGTACAACAGAAGACAGGCGGAAGTGGAGACGTGCAGTTGAAGCCCTATGTTCCACTAGGAACCCAAGGGAACAATAATAATAAGGCTGGTAAAGAGGGAAGGTTAGGCATGAGGCTAGCAACCCCATCCTGTGAAGAATAATAATCACCACTGCAACAAAAACTACAAACCTCTAGCTCGAAGCCCCATGTCTCAGTGGGAAAGTGAAGGAATAATAAAAAATCACTATTTTACAATTTTTGTAGCCTATTTTCAATTCCTTGTTTCCACATATATATATGTATATAACTATGCGTCCTACACTTCGATTTAACTTTTTTAATAGCTTTATCATGAGCTAAGGTCGGCTAAAGAACCAATAGAAAAGAATTCCATGGGACTACAGAGCGGATATTTCATCCTAGCTTGAGACTCACTGACAGTACGCAACCACCAAGGATCGAATCCAGGACCTCCATGTTACAAGGCGAGCTGGTAGACCATTCAGTCATATTCTTAATTATTCTCTAACTGATGTCATCTCGTGGCTGAACCTGTAACTAGTGAAATCCTTGCCAAGAATCTCTTGATTAGTTCTGTTGATAACTGACAACAACTTCTAACCCTTTAACAACTGTAAAACTTGGAAGAACAGTTGTCCAAAAAACAGTTGCTCTGACTTTACTGAGTTTTATGTTGTTAATTTCTTCAGTATATTCAACGCAACTTTTTCATTATTTAAAACTTACAGGTCTACCATTTGGACGTTCTGACAACTTTATAGCATTTGATAAACTGCCAACAAAAAAGAATGGACATAAGTTACTACGCTGAAAACGACGTCTTCCTTTTTTAGAGTGTTTATATTTTCTATGTCTAACTGACTGTTGATGAACAGACTGCGATAGATGTGATGGTGATGACAATGAGGACAAGGACGACGACGACGACGATGATGTTTCTGCTGCTGACGATACTGACGATGATGGCGAGGAGGAGGAGGAGGAGGAGGAGCAGGACGAATGCATTGTTGGCGATGGTATATTCCGTTGACTGTGTTCTGGTGATTTTTGTCCTCCTCTTCTTCTTCCTCTTTGATATGTCTTTTCAACTTCTTGTGCTGCTGATGAGGATGATGATAATGGCCTCTCTTGACGTTTAACATTTTCCGTCATGATGTCACCCATTGAATTACAATAACGATAATAAAAATAAGCACAGAAATTCTGTGTAAGTGTGATTTGTAGTGATGGAGTCAGCGGAATATCTGATGAGGTAGAAGAAAAAAGGAGAAGAAAGTGGAAATAAAGTGGGAGTCTTAGAGACGCAAAATAAATCAGGCATTAATTCAAATATGAATCGCCATTATTTATAATCTACAGTAAAACAAACTGTTCATCTTACTTACTTGGAGTAAGAAAGCGGTTAAGAGAACATCACACTTCTGTTAACTTACTTCTCTGTCTTTTTACGAACTAAGCAATTGGTTATATTGACTAAGAATACAAACCCAGGACTTTCCCATTACACTAAGTACAGTTATTCGCCTTTGATATTGCCTGGGGGTTACAGTGAATATATCGCGAATTAGCAAAGATTGCAACTAACGGGCAATATGACCGGGTCCCAGTGGCTGTAACCGAAAAATCTTGGGTTCAAACCACCGTGGGTGCATAATGATGATGAGCCACAAATCAGGGCGAAGCAGCTGTCAAGTACTCCCTGTTTTTCCAGTGGTTCTCTAACTGGTGTCAACTAATGGTCAAAGCCGAAACAGATATGTGATTATACTATCATTCTAGTGAAGCTAGATGAATACAGAGCTGAGTATCACTCCATTATAGCCACAAGATCAGTAGATTTCGGTTTGCTAACATTGTGACTTTATCCACTGGTAGAAATTTACGCTACTTATAGTTGAGCAGATATAGCTTTCAAAGTTGTTCTATAACAGGTATAACTGACTATGTTTCATATCAAATATATGCCGATTTCAAGAATATATTTCGTAACAATATTCTGAGAACTATTTAAAAGTAGGGAGTACTGGATGCCCATTTTAGGTCAGTCTCGGTTTCTTCACAAGTACGCATTCATGGCTTTGTAAAAAGTTCCATACAAGAATTTCAGGTTGTAGAACGAGAAGTGAAGATTCTCAGACTAGTTCAAAATAGCTGTCCACTTCTCCTTCACGTTTAATTGTTGTCTAGTTGGCATCGATTTATGAAGTCAATCAGATCTTAAAAGACCTAAAGTTTGGAAGTGACTGCTTTCGTCCAGCTGAGTCGGTATAAACGATAATAGGGTTACTAATTATTCAATAAAAATGTGGAAAATGTGGTCAATAATATCCAAGGAACCGACTTGTACAACAAAATGTGAACTATATCTTAATAGCTCTTTGAAAGTTTTCTTCATGGAGTTTCTTTTTATTTTGTAGACTCGTGAGAGTGCTTATCATTTACCTTCTGTAAACTTTCATACCATCTACTTTAGTTCCCAAGAAGAATACTGTCTTCATAATTTCACACCCAAAAATTTAGAGACTCTCGATAATATGGCTTAAAATTATTTACAGTGACCAGCCTGTTGGGTATGGCGACAAATACTCACCAATGACTTTGACAGAATAGCTATGAATTGCACTCTGGCAGAAGTCGGTATTCGTGGATCAATGGATACCACTGTTCTGGCGAAGTAGTCAGCAAGTTGACTTTGTAACCTGAAGGTCCACAGTTCAACCCTTCATGGTGTCATAGGTGCCTACTGATGAAGAGTCTCAAGGTGGAAGGAATACTTATGCTGACTGAGTAGCTGAAAGTTATGCTGTTTTATCACTGGGAATAAACTTCGTGAATGTTTGAACTTAACAAAACAGTATTACTCAGTGAAGCGGTCAGATCAATTGTGAACATAAAGGCTTACAACTGAAGATATAACCGTAAATAAACTTTGTCAAGTACGCTGATGATTTAACAGTTTCAATGGCTGTTAACTCCCGGCTAGATTGTACCAAAATAAATAGCTTTTTGTCGCGAGTCAGTAAATGGTCTGAGTCTCACGGTCTTAAACTGAATCCTTCTAAGTGTCAAACTGTTGATTTCAGCTTAAGATGTAAACGACAGTTAAAAGAAATCATCGATTCTCAGGACAGTTGTAAGATTGACGACAATGATATAGGAATCAAATCAGAAATTAAGTATCTTCGACTTATTCTCTCTTCTGATCTCTCATGGACTTCCATGTCTTAGCGATCTCCAGTAAAATATTCCGCCTGACATTTTACATTAAGAAGTTAAGGCAATCAGGTATAACTCAAACCCTCCTCTCACAGTTCATAAACTCTTGCATCCTACCTATTCTTCTTTATTGTTTACCCTTATTCTTTCCTGGTTTGCCTAAAAAGGACTATGTCACAATTCGTAGAATGGTGAAGACGGTCAGTAGGGTGAGTAGTGTCCCGCTGGACCACATAGTTAACATCGTTGTCGATAGGCACTTGACTTCGTGCAGTAAATTTGCTGGAGGGATTTTGTCTGACTTGGAGCATCCACTTTACCCTCAGTTTTCACCTTGCATCCCCTCAGGTAGAACAAGAAGTAATCTCAGGAAACTGTATGATCGCACATCTAAGTATAGAAATTCTATGATACCATACTTGGCACGTATTTCATGTGATGAAAATAGCGTCAGGCAAGAATTAACTAACCTTTTTTCATCTAGTAAATAAACAATTTCCTCCATCCATCCTTACATACCTTCAAGTTTTACTTTTATTATTTCTATTATATTTATGGTCCTGTTGCTTCTTTTTTTTACTCTCATAATTGCAAAGACCAACTTATCTCTATGACTGCTGTAATCTTTGTTTTTCCCCTCACCATATCATGTAAAGAGAACATTATATTCAATATTATTTAACATGCTAAGATTTCTATACCGCAATGAAAATACTGTGTGAAACAAGCCCACGGCAATTTCCACTCGTATTGTTACTATTAATACCCTAGCTGTTATCATTATTATTGCTATTTCCATTTTATATGCTGCATGTTTTTGACATTACCTCTATTGTAAATGTGGAAGATTTTCTGTGTGATTAATTTTATTTATGATTTGAGGAAATTAGATACAATATTGTGATTAATGTTGAAAATTCCATTCTGTATCACAAGTACTGTTTTTGAAATAAAGTAAATCATTATTACTACTATTATTATTAGTAGCATTCTCAAATCAAGTTACTGAACATAGAAAATCTTTTCTAAATTAAAACTGTGCGTTGGTGGCACAGTGGTTAGGACTCTCGCCGACCATGCACCTGGTCCGAGGTTCGTTCCCCTGCCGACTCACATCTGATATCTATGGTCGGCCTTCAAAATTTGGGCTACCGATATCCATGCTGAAAATTCCCTACTTGTACCTAAAATACAGTGTGGAATCAAGCTGTAATCAAAAAGATATTCTCTTTCAATGTCAACGAATGACATTTTTAATGTGTGGCAGTATGTACTGTTGACTGACCAGTTGTACCTACTAGCCAGTTCAAAGTGTTTTAGACACCTTTTGGGGGTCAAGATCATCAGCGGTGTACCTGATCTGACTCAGTCCAGATATCGAAATCAGTTGAGATGTCTATTTTATTATAAGAAATAAGTTCATAGAAATCTCTTCAATCCGTATGCATGATGACAAATATCTAAAATTAAGAAACACTTACGTTGAACCTATGAATACTACAGCTCATCAAACATGATCAGATTTGCACACTGCTCAGTGGGTTACACTTTGCAGGTATGAAGGTGTAATGGAGAAATTGTTTAGAAGATCCATCCTGAACAACCTGATAACAATATTGATACTTAATTTGGATATTACAACTAACTTTGTAATCATTTCTCACTTTTCTCCTAGACTGTATATCATTGTTCTGACGTTTGCATCCTTAATTATTTGTCTTTATTCCTGTTTAATCTTTAATTTTAATAATTTTCTTTGTGGTTGTGTAATGATAATGATAATATGTTGTCTTGTGATGGGATTTTATTTGAGTGGATCAAGTTGGTTCTGACATTGGACAGTCTGCGGGAAGCGTTAGTCTTCTATTCTATTGGAAATAGCTTCTGTTCACACCTTCTTTCTCAGGTACTTCTTAAACTTGAACTTTGGTCAACTAATTTTGTTCTTAAGTACGTATCTCACACGTATAACTGTCTAACGGCACTGTTAAGGTAATCCTAAGTTTCTGATGATATTAGTGTTGTTGAATAGATGAACCATGTAGATTTCAACCACGAACAGTTATCTTTTTAGTGTTTTTGGAGCATTTTGTGACTGTGTATATCTCAGGGAAGTTTTAGATAGCCATACAATTCAACGTAGAGATCGGTTTCCTATGTTCAGACCACAATGAGTCGGTTTCGGTAGTAACAGATGGTTACGCAAACTAGTTGGATATTTAATTATCCTTAATTGTAGTTCAGTTCAAAATGACAATCCATTGATTGAAAGTTGATTAAGCGAATCAGTCGTACTCAATTTCACAAATGCATCTTTTATATACAGCATATTAGTGAACGATAGATGTTTTGATTGAACACTAGTAACTAGTGTGACGTGTCTAGCCCTTTCTTTGGTCCAGACTGAATTCTATCACTTAGGTTTGCAATGTGGCCGTCATGTCACTAGGTAGCTCGCCATCACGGTGCACATTGATTTCATGATATTAGATAGTTGGAGGCAATCGGCAAGGTTGCAGATACGCCTTGCTGACGAGTGCCAACTGGGACGAAACCTAGGTCCAAGGCTTCCTGCCGATTCAAACGATAAATATACATATATTTACGACTTTAAACTTTACTACCACTTTTAATTACTGGGCTCACTGCGCTGAATTGACAGAATTCAGTGTTTACTGAGGCGGTCAGGCAGATAGAGACAAAAATCATCGTATCACTCTACACAAAAGTGTACTTTAATCACTTTATTCCAATCAATACTAATTTTGTTGAGTGGAATTTTCAGCCTTTTTTACAATATTGCGACAATACGTAATAAAACCGCGAAAAATGAAAGTTAGTGGAATATAATCAATAACGAGCATAAATTTTATTGGAATTTCTTCTGTTTCCATCCGAAGAGATACAGAGAAAAAGTTACCAATAAACAGGATGTTCAGTATCAGAGAAGATGACCTTGGATAATGGCTAGAAAGAATTAAAACGCCTATCAAGAATAATTGGTCAATTTGTTGAGTCAAAGGCGAAT